CATATGATGGTAAAATGGTAAGAATTGCATTATAGTACCTGATGGCAATACTAAAGCCAGTTGGGAAGAGCTTTTTCGTCTGCAATAATGTGCAATTTTTCCCGATTAATTGAGGAATACAGAAGCCAGCAAATGAAATAAAATAATTTTAGATTTTTTTTTTTATTTACCAATGAATAGGCTTGGAAATTCTTCCGGAGGAGGGCAATAGAGAGCACTGCGTTGTCAAAATGCGGGAAAGTTATTTTGTATGGCAACCCAAGCTAGACAGAATATCTTGAATTGTTGATTACTAAGGACTAGTTCATGTATAGATTGTTCTGTGTCCTACAAAAGTTCTATCATTCACACAATTGGCATCTGTCTATAAATTTGACAATATTTTGAAATATGATAACAGTTGGTCTAATTACATAAGAAAAGTATCAGAACAGTTGTTTAAGGCTTGGAAGTTGCTTGTCTATTCCTTGTTTTACAAGACAATACAAGTAGTTTGTACTTTCAGATAGACACAATTTAAACTATTTACAGCTATGTTAACTTGACATCATCACAATTCACAACACTTTTTAAAACAGGATNGATTTTTTTTTAAAAAAAAAAAAAAAGAAAGAAAATTATCACCTGCTTGGCCCAGTATAAATGGTAAGCTCGATTTTCCTTGCCTCCAGACCTTCAAACTAATAGTGCTAAGCGCCAGTAAGGCCCCTCCGTAGAGCACACCAATTCTTAAAGAAACAGGGTTTCTTGTGAAAATAAAGCCAAGTAGTCCCCCACTTAGCACAATCCCACCTACGATAGAAATAATCTAAGTTGGTTAACCGAGTTTTTTTGGGACTTAATTATGAACATTTTCAATAAAAAATGACCTGCATGTAACGTCGATGGCATATCTATAGTTATAGACAAGATACTCTTTTTTGTCACAGATAATGAAGAAATTATTCGTAAGCAACTTACAATTTTAGAAGGCTATTTTCATCTTTATTTGCCTTTTCTTTTCTATATTGGGATTGGGTTTGCCATTCAAAATAAAAATAAAAATGTGATGATTTAAGGGCAATGGAATCTAGAAGGCCACTTTTTCTCTACTTGAATGCGGCCAAAAATAGAACCAATTTATTCCAGACTGAAAATTTAAGCGATACATTGAACCAATTAGAAGCCAATAGGTATTCTTGAATGCATCTAGAAAAGAAAGCGCTGATTGGAAATGGAGAAAGTAAAAACACTCACCAAAGGGGATTCCAAAACAAAAATCGTGAATCTTAGCTGCCCTTATCGGCTGGCTGATGACTTGCTCCTGTGAACGACCATTTGATGCTCCAATGACAGAACTTTCCGTGAGAGGCTGAGATTTTACATTGGTTCCATTATGTGGGTTTAATTCATCTTTAACGGAACTTGGGCCACTCTTGCTCTCCAAGTTGGATATATCAGGACTACTTCCATCATTACTCACAACATTAAGCACCTGAAAATAGATTTTAATAAAAAATAGGACAAATTTATCAGCTGCTGCCAAATTTTAGATTTCAGACATCACATGATAGCACAGAGTGCCACTCAATACACATCAACTTTAAAGATGCATCGAAAAATATTTCGAAACTAACCAAGTATCTCAATAGTCAACTTGGAATAGGTCGTATGAAATGAACAAAGATTAAGTCATTAATTGAACTTCAATCCAAGTCCAAACGAGAAATTAGGAATTAAGTGTGTAGTATTAACTTCATAATCGTAGTATTCTTACATGATACATCAAATGTCTGTTACCTCCACTACTCTTGGGATCACATCTTCTTACTATTTTTAAGTTTTAACCAGCACTGGAGACCGCTGATTGATAGTAAATTCAGAAAGAAGCAAGTTGCTGTATTGGGCTATCGGCACAGCAAATGCTCAAAGCTCAATATTACTTGCATCATTTCCAGGACTAAAATGTGAAGCAGACACAATTTGTTAAAAGGCAATAGTTTTTTTTATAGTCCATCACAATTTCCTCAGCTTAAGTCCATCACCTTACAATTTTATAGTGTCCCATGATAGGTAAAACCAAAATCAAAACACATAAAAATCAAGTCTTGGGATCTTATCTTCACAATTCAAACAATTCGCAATATCGACAAGGATTCATTTGCTACATAATTACGCTTGTATTCGACCAATTTAAGTTTCAATCTCATTTAGCTAGTTTTCTTAAACTCAGAGCTCACATAACTGCAACATCCAAAGCTCGGGTTCACTGTAAATTCACATTCGGGTCCTTCCATCAATAAGCTCTATTTTTCTCTAACTACAGGTCACGAGCGAAATCAAAGCAAACAAAACCCTCAACAATTACACGATCTAACAGTCTCATGGCTTCAGAAAGATGCAATTTTTATCTAAAGAAATAGACAAATAATGAATGAATCAATTCGAGGTTACCTTTCCAGGCCGGAAACCGTCGGGGCGAGAGGAAGATCTGGGCCGGTGCTGCAGCCGCCGGTTGCTGATTATGGAGGAGAAACATGACATCTGAGAAATCGCCGACGGCATTGTTGCTATTTTGCTGATGCTTGACTGAAACAGATGTTTTCTTTTTCTTTATTACTATTGTTCTGCACTGTTGGTGAATTCAAGAAGAAGGCGTTGACGGTGACGGTGACGGTGACGGCGGATGCAGGTTGAGGAAGAAGAAGAAGAAAAAAAATAAGACAAATTGAAAAATGCGTTGATTAATTCAAGTGTTCAGTGCTCGCAGGCTCGCAGCCATCACCCATCAGCACAGAACCTTGACAAATTTTAATTCATTAATTATTTTTTATACATTTTATAATTTATTTATATATATTATTTTCAAAGTAACACAATTTTAGGGGTGGTGGGTGGCAATGACCGGTAATTTAACCATCGGCAGAGCTGAGTCAAGTCGAGCTTTCACGAACCGGGCTAAGCTTTTGTTGTTAGAACAAAGCTTTGGTAATTTCAACCATCCATCAGCACTTTTTGGGTTTGCTAAATGAGTCCACCTGAGCTGTCAAGAGTTTAGGGTGCTTGGATATAAGCATTTTTTGTTTTGTTTGGATTATTTGATTTTGTTTGGTTAATTTAAAAAAAATAGTATGATTAATTGTTAATTGAATTTTAAATTTATATTAAATTAATATTTAAAATAAAAGAATTAAAGTAGATTTAATGTAAAAGTATGAGAGAAATGATGTGAATTGATAATTAGTTAAAATTATCTGACGAATAGTTAATTGAAGTTGATGTAATATGTAAGAATGATTGATTAGTATCCTGTAAATACAATGATAATATTGAGAATAGTTAGGTAGAGTTAAAATTGAGTTAAAAGAAAAGTGATTGGTTAAAAATGATTGATTTTTTTAAAAAAATTTGTATCCAAGCATGCTATAAATGACTCGAGTTCGACCCAAATTTTTGGCTCGTTTATTAAACGAGTCGATACGTGCACGACCTCAAACATGAAATGTTTGTCTCAACTTAAATAACACTTCTAACTGGCGTATACAAAATACAAACACGACACGATTACAAATACCATTAATTAGTGTCTACAAAATACGAACACGACACGATTACAAATACGATTATAAAGATGAATGACACGATAGGCATAGCACGACACGAAACACACTACCAACAAGAAGAAATATAAAATAATAATAATAATTAAAAGTTTGACTTTTCATCGTATTTGTGATAAGTACAATATGTGACTTGAAATCATAGTTAAACACGAACGACATAATAGCACGACTTGACGCCTATACAAATGTTTATTAAATAAAAAAATTAAATATAAAAGTTTACAAATCAATAATCTCTACTTTAAATATAATAAAATAAGAATTGAATATGATTTGTAATTAAAATAGTAGTGTAAATATTGTGAATAATAAGTTTGCTAAAATTGTGTATAACAATTATTTATACTTAAAGTTGTTTCTATGAATTTAAGATAGAAAAATAAAAACTAACAAAAAGTATTTTCATAAATAAATAATAATCACAATC